ATGCTTCTATTTACAGAACTTGGACCTCATTAATATTTAGAACTCTGTTCAAAATCTACTCTTATAGCCTTCCAACAGAACAGATCGGAAACTTCAAGAATGGTTTCAGTCCATCCTAGATAAGGCATGTATCCATAATGGCAGAGACCCTAAAACAATGAGCAACTTCAGAGTAACAAAAAACTTTCATGTTCTTGTTATTTTGAAAGAGCTGCTTCCTAGGATGCAATAAGACGTGAAGGTTATGTTAACCAGTTTGATGAGAATATTTCCAAATGTATATGAAAACAGCACACTGTACCCCATGATTGCATTAATGTACACAGTTATGCTATAAGAAATTAAAAACAAAAACTGCAAAAAAAAAAGATTTAAACCTGCTCTGTGAAAATATTCCTTCCTGAAATAAAATAGAAAAGAAGGATTTCTTCCTGAGCACCAGGGAAGTCCAAGGAAAGTCTTAATAATACTTCGGTGACTCTTGGTTAGTGAAAAGATGGTCTGTTCACTTTTAAACACAGAAAGTAACTGCAGTTCACTGCTCTGTAACGGCAGAACTTCAGCTGAAGCTCCTCCGTTATCCCTGCTTTGGCCACATCAGAGCCTCCATTTACACTAGGAAGGAAAACATGATTTTTTTTCCTTTTATTTCCATAATTTTCACTGCTCCTCCTCCTTTTTGATTCACTTAAGCAGGAAAAAGGACACATAGGGGGAAGAAATGACCTTATTTGAAAATACTATTGTAGTCACCTGGCTGGGCTTACCTCTGCATAAGTGCTATACTTTGGCAGGTCTTTAGCGATATGAGCCACAACAATAGGATTTCTTTACCTGCAAGTCCCTTGAGATGAGTGAAGGTACTTCATTTAGGAGCCCCGCCTCAGCCCTTGGGCATCCATCCCTGCAAGTTCAGGTTCTTTCTGTTGAGTTTTCTTCACCTTTAAGCCTGTTCCCTTCAGTGGCCCTACTGAGTAGGATGCAACAGATTACTGGCTCACTATAGCAGAGCTCCACAAGTAATGTTCACGTGTCTGTTGTTCTAACAAATTCTGTTGCAAAAGTGGCCTCTGGTATAGCCGTGTCTCTTTGCCTGGCCATTGGGCATCAGCCTGCCATGGTCTCATCTTGAAGATTTCTCAGGTATAGTCAAGTCCCAGTTTACCGACTACCTTGGCCATAGCCACCAAGTTCCAAAAAACACATCAAACCTTCTGAAATAGTTCGTTAAAGTTGCTTTCCAATGCACTTGAGATAAGGGGAAATTAGCCTTCCACCTTGGAGGTATGTACAAATCACCTCATATCCCAAGTCTCACAAAACTTCTCTCCTAATTATCGGTTTCCTTGGGCTTTTCCTGCCTTTCTAACAGACTGGAGTAGATCATTAATTCAGAGCCAGAAAAGCAGTTCTCAGTGTTCTTCTTTGCAAGCCTGGCCTAAGTGAATAAAGAAATTGAATAGGCCCTCAGTAGTTGACAGTCTTGTGAATAGTGAACTAAGAAAAAGCACCCACTAAATAACTTAGTGCCCTATACCTTTTAGAATGATTTTCTATATTGTGAGCCATTTGCCAATCGGCTGTAGGGACTTCATTGTTCTGAATTCACCAGTTAGTAAAAGGACGAATTTGAAGCCTCATTTTTATTGTGAAGAGGGGAGAGTGATTGAAGGAGCTATGGACACGAAGGGGCGTCCTTCCACACAGACCACTGTGCACCTTCCCCCGGCCCCCTCTGGGAAGAAGGCGGCTCAAGTCCCCTTGAAAGTCTGTCTTTGGGAATACCCATTATCCATGAAAGAAATGTCTTAACTATTTACCCAAATGTCAAGAATATTGCCTCTACTTCATGCAGTTTTTTAGAAGTAAATTTGGAGGAAAGGAGCTGTTGTTCAAAGCGTGTTCTCAAATGAGGACTTGTGTATGATTTTTATTAAATGTAGACTAATGAATGCCAATTAATACACTTCTTTTCTTTTCCTCCCAGCACCAAGGAAAAATTGGAGTTAAGTTTAATGTTGGGACAGATGACATTGCCATTGAAGAGTCCAATGCAATCATCAATGATGGGAAATACCACGTAGTTCGTTTCACGAGGAGTGGCGGCAATGCCACATTACAGGTGGACAGCTGGCCAGTTATTGAGCGCTACCCTGCAGGTAAGCAAGTGAATGTGTATCTGGGGGAGATGATATGAAAGATAAACTGGAAAACAATTTTGCGTCTGTTTCGCCAAATTGTGATTTTCTGAGAAACCATCGAGTATTTATTGGACTTTAAAGTCATGTGATTGTAATATTGTCCTAAACTGTTCTTGCCACAGTGTACAAATGGCATTTTATAAGAGAACTTGAAGGCACACGATATCATTTGCAAAATTCGGGACATCAGTGAAACCAGAAAAATGCACACACGAAAAGCACAACATGCCAAAGCTCTTTGTACTGGATCCTCGCATTGGAACGAAGGAAAGGCTTTGTCAAAAGTAACAAACTTAAAAGTTAAAACGAGGGGAGCAAAAATAAGGCCTGACCATTCCTTTGATGGGTGGTGATGCACAGCTGAAACTCATGACAAGTGCAGAAGGACCACAGACAAGTAGGGAACTAGTTTTAAAAAACAGTACTGTAAATCAGTAGTTATAACGTATGAGGAAAGGAAGTGTGTTTTCACTTTCATAATCATGGACTTTGATAAGGATTCTGTGACACCAGTACTACTCAAGTGTATAAAATGAAGGGCAAGTCATTATTAACAAAATAAAACTATAATGTTTATTGTTAGTGAGTTTCATCAATATTATATTATTGAAATTAAGTTTGTAGATAAGATACAGAAACCAGTGTTGTGGTTGCATTTAATTCTCAATTTAAAATAGGCTTTTTAAAGTAAAATATTAATCATCTTCCTTACTATATTTTAATACAAAATAGGTTACAAAAAGCGTTAGTCTCATTTCTCTCCGTTCCCTTTCAGATAGAACTATTTTTGACACAGTACACAACTTATAACTCAGTGTAAAGAAAAAGTAGAAAATAAATTTTTATTTTGCACAATGAAATGATAACCTATACACATATATATGTATCGATATCTATATATATTAGAATTATTTGGGGTTTTGGAAGAAGTAATTTAATAAAATAACTAATTTATTAATTAAATACCAAATTTCACTAGTGCTGACTCCTAATTGGGGAATGGCTGTGGTGCTCTCTGGAGCTTTTGTGATTTATAAAATTTTAAATCTTCAAGCCTCAGTCCAAACCTATGCTGTCACCCTAGTGTTCTACAAATATTTGCTGAATTAAATGTGATAAAAACTTCTATGATGGAATTCAGAAGCAAGCAAATTGATAATATGTCCAGTGTCTTCTTATAATACTGGCAAATAGAAGGCACTCAAATATTTGCTGAATTGGTGCCCTGGGAACTATCACGGTTTTATACGACAATTAGGTGAACCATCTAGAATAAGGTGAAATAATGGTGGAAGCAACGTAACTTAAATACACACGTGCCCTCACCTAGCCCCTGCTTATCCCTTATTGCAGAATCTGAAATCCTAGTATAAATATGCTTTCTAAAGATAGTGACTTCAACTTCTGTAGAATTACAGAAAAGTCAACTAGAAACTTTCCTAGACTATGGGCTGATCATACCTGTTTGCTGAGGGGAAGTTGTTGCCCTGCATATGCCGAAGGGTAGACAGAAGGGTAAGGTCCAGGCTTTGCCCAAGAGATGTTGTCATCTGTGAGTAGTGGACCTGACCACATAATCCTATTACTGTTGCAAAGGGGCAGTTGTCTCTTGAAGATTAACTTTAGCAGTCATTTCTTTAAAATGATCCTTATTTAGTAACTTTTTACTCTTATCAGTGTTTTCCAAATTGGTATACTTAAGAACTCTGTTATTCAGTTTATTTATACCTGTACGGGGCGAGGGAACATCCTCTGCTCAAGCAAAGTGGGGAAATTCTGGGTTAAGCTATGTTAAAAATATCTATATTTGGACTTAATTTTATGAATATGCATAATGCATCTCTAAAGGAGGAATATAGGACACGTTATTATATGTGTCCAAGCATAGATTATTAAAACAGCTTTTTAATGTATTGTTTTAGGAAATGTTTTGTTTTTGAAATTTTCTCCATCTCTCAATTTTACTATATTTTATTTCACTGTGCACCTACCAGGTACTGTACAGTAGCTATAGGCCAAGAAAGATACGCTTCCTCTCCTCCTTTACCAGGCTAAGCTAATATCCAATTTGAATACTGATAGCTGAGATTGGGGAAGTGTTAATTAAGGATTTGATGAAAAATGTGTAGATATTTTTCTAGATTAATACTTGTTTAACACATCTATCTTACTAATCAAATAGATGTTCAGAATAAGAAATACAATATAAAAGATACTTACAAATCAGAGGCAACTAGTAACTTAATAATTAAGATGCAAGTCCTTAGAAGTAGTTGTTTTAAAGACAACTTTTAATACTTAGTGGAAGATTCCAAGCACCCTTTACCAAGATATATTTTAATGTGCTAATTAATAAACCAAGAGAGGGCAAACTTGCAATTCTGAAATATATAAGCAAGGAAAAACAGAATCTATTCTTAAGAAAATTGGAGCTCATTTGAGGATTTTCTATATAATAAATATAAAAAGTTAATGATCATTATGTAAAGAACTCAGGGAGTCACCACTGTTGTCATCAGATGTTTCATTAATAGTCTGTCCTGTCTGCATTGCTTAAGTAGGAAATAAGCCATGACAATTTCAAGTACCTTTTTCTCTTGGATAAGCATCTTCTGCAGCTGTGCCGTAACAGAGGAACACAAATTTTAAAACATGTGTCATCTAAATTAAAGCTTACATAACAAAGTGACTTTAAATACAAATTCAATAGCAAAGGCTACCAGTATATCGGTTTGTGGTACGGCTATTTTCATTAAAACCTTTTTTTGCTTATTATTCATTGGAAAAGCAAATGCTTTCACCACCAAATCCTATAATCAGAGAAGCAGGAACTAGCAGACAATATTTTGTTCCTTTTAAAGTGCCTACACTGCAAAATATAGGTAATAAGAGTTGAAATTAGTAATTAAGTATAGCACTTAACCTTCCATTATAGGACTTGCGGTAAGTGCTTTTATATGAAGCAATCCATCTGGTAGCAACACTATACCTTTAATGAAAAGCACCTAAAGCATTGACCAGTAGTATTACCCTGTAATTGTCTGGAAGGCTTTCATAGAGAAACGAATTAGTAGAGGTAGATTTTATGCTCTTATGGAGTATATGAAATATTTCTATAACTCTATCATTCACATTTTAGAATTAATATTGAATTTTCTGAGAAGTGGTCGTAGTCTCCATTATTTTCTGTGCATGGAACAGAATACAGAAATAATATTTCACAAACCATTTAAAGTTGAAAAGCCTATTTCTTGGTGCTTATCAGTTAAAGCTCTAGAATATAATGCACCATTAATCTCTGATTTGTCCCTAATTATAGTTACGTAGCAAAATTTTCTCTCTCAACAACAATAGACTTCCTCTTCTCATAACATTAATTCACATAGCCTAACATCATCTTGCTTGCCCAGACTAAACATTGCTTCAGATAAATCTCATTTACCTTTGTGGATAAACCTTTAAATTTATTTGCCTACCACAGAATATCAAAAGATGTCTTGTATATTCTGCACAAGGTCAAATATTCACTTAATTTCCAAGTTAATACATCAAATCAACCAATATTTAAAGGAAATGTATTACATGAAAGGAACACACTAGGCTTGTGGTGTGGTTATAGAAATAGGTTAAAAAAAAAATAGTTCAACACTAGTAATACGTGGGAAAGTACAGATTTATCACATCGTATTTGCCTCATTTCTTAATAAAATGTAAAAAGTAAGTATGTTCCAAAGAGGAAGAGACCATTTTGGAGTGAGCAATATACTAAAACTGGAAAAAAATTATAAACTTGATTTGGGTCTTTTCAAGCATGGATTTGCTAAGGTAGAATTACCAGGAAAAGATAACAACAGAAAATATTTAGGAAGCTATCAAGCAGTCCAGGTGTGAAAAGATAAAGAACTAAAGTAGGATGTAAGAAGATAAAGAGGATGAAGGCAGAATTTGTTGTAAGACTTGGTGAACAACTGAATACTAGGAGAGACAATCTCACGTTTCTTAAGTACTTTCTCTCTTCCTCCCCTCCTCCTTTCTCTCCCTCCTCCCCTCCCTCCTCCTTCTCTCTTCTTCTCCCTCTCCTTCTACCGTCTTTCTCTCTGCTTCTCCTCCCACTTTCCCCCCTTCTTGTTCCTCCCCTTCCTCCTGTCACCTTCTTCCTCTCCTCCCCTTCCACCTCCTCTTCCTTCTTCCTCTTCTTTGCACCTCTTCATCTCTCTCTTTACCATCAATTAGGCAAGGTTCTAATGCCACTGTGTGTCACAGATGGCACCAAGTACCCAGTGGTTATAAGAAAAACTAGAGAAATCAAAGACACAGCTCAGGCTAGCTGAGAGATTAGTCTGATTGAGAGACAAAAAGGATATTTAGTGAAGTATCTCAAGAATGGAGGAAAAAGTATCCAGTGTACTCAATACTTTTATGAAACCAATTTATAATTGCTCACATTTTCTTATGAAAGATAGATCACAATTATAACCTATGATGAAGGAGAGAAGTAGAGGGGGAAGGGAGGGAGGAGTTCAATACAGAGAGGGTAAATGGTGGGACCACACCGATGGAGAATATTGTAAGGGTACAAGTCAAATCTACCAAGTATAGAACATAAATGTCTTATCACTATAATTAAGTAAATGAAGTGAAAGCTGTATTAATTACTTTGATGTAACCATTCCAAACTATATTAAAAAATATCAACACATTATACCCCACAAACACATAAATGTATTCATCATGTGTATATGACTTAATAAAAGGGAAAAAATAAAAAAGAGAGAGACAAAAAGGATCCAGCAATTTGTAAAAATATTAAATGTATTAACAGTCAAGATTTGTCATACGGAGCTTAATTGCTATTAGAGTTTCAAGAAAGGAGAAAATGGTGGTCTAGAGTAGTGTGCCAAAGTATATCCTTTAGAGATAAAACCATTTGAAAGCATGAATAGTCTAAGGGAAGAGTC